CTACATTTACAGCTGTACACTGAGTTGCATAGCTCACAAACTTACAGAACATTTCATGTCAGGACAATATGAATATAAATCCAAACAGTCCTGAACAGTATAATTCTGACTACATTTAGTGCATATGTAAAATGCATTTAGATGCAATTTGGAACCATATTTCACCCTCACTTTTGATTTTATAATTTTAATACTTATGTATGAATATACAAATGTCTGCAGATGTTTTGAGATCATGTGTTGATATTTCTGTTTTGTTTTTATTGAAAACTACCTAGCATTGAAGGACTACATCAAGCAAGATCTAAGCAGATTTAGAGAAGTTCTAATGAGGGGCATTGTTGAAGTATTAAGGTAACAGTCATCATGGCTATCTGCAGAGTTAGTGGCCATTTTTCCCCCCTTTTCTTTATTTTAAATCTCAGTGCAGAGCAAATACGTGGTATTACTGACATGTAAATAATCAGAGTATCTTCTGTGCAGGTTTTTATTTTGGATCAGCTGAAAAACATAGAACAGAAACAATTAAGGATGCTTTGCACACTGTGAGAAATGGCAGTCTGATGCTAAGAAAGAAGGACCTTTCATTAGAGGTGGTGTTAAGTTTCAGTGCGTCACTTTGCCACTGATTCTTTAGGTTCAGGAGGTATTTCTAAGTCCTCTACAGCTGTAGGGCTTTGATTTAACACACCTGTAAATAACTAGAATCTAACTCTGCTTTGCAGGTGTTGAGGTTAGAAGTCAAAGCAAATTATTTTCTCAGCAATTCTATCCTCTTTGTTAGTCAGTAGATCTTTAAAATAAATGCAATTTATACTTAATGTCAGTTTACTCAGAAGACTGCATTGTAGCCCACAGATGCTGAGGTTTTCTTTGGTGTGCAAATGTGATGGTTGTGCTTCCTTCTGGTGACCTGGTTTATGGTATCTGCTGTGACAATGGTCCTCCAATCTTTTATGGATTATGAGTTGTACAGTATTTTTGGCCTGTGTTCCTTGAAGATGTTGGGAATGGATCAGGAATAATAGTAGTACATAGGAATTAGATTACATGCTGCTTCTGATTTATAAGCTTTTAATAGGCATGTATTGCAGAGGAAGGGTCTTACTTTGCAACATTTAAACATCATCTCCTTACCTTTTGGCTGTGACGTAGCTTACGTGATGTATTTGAGGCCATCTGTCTGTGGTTTTTTTTTAAATGTCATGTGTATTCACACTACATTCAAGAGTCCATATCAAGAAATTTCTTTCAATACCGTCTACCAGTATGCAGCATATAAGTCTGTGACAAGTGATGCTACAGAAGGTCATGTCACTTTTAGCTGCTTGCATTAGATCCTTGATTTCCCTCGTGCCCTTCCATTGTTTGATTAATACCACTTGATTTCAAACAAGATATCAGAAGGCATCATTTAGAGTGAATGTTCTAAGGACAACGTAAGACTTTTGCCACAGAACTTTTATTAAAATAAATGTAACATTACATTTTGTCTCTATTTGTTGTATTGCCCACCTCCTCTCCTCTCCTCTCCTCTCCTCTCCTCTCCTCTCCCTCCTCATGACATCCCTCCCTCCCTTACACCTCCTCCATGTTAATGCTTGACGTAAGGATCCAAATAACTACTGTATTCCTTCCAAACAGAGTGGCACATGTGTACATTATTTGAAAAGAAAAGAGGTAGAATCAAAGGATAAAAAAATCCACTGTGGGGTTTTTTTCTACTGTATTCTTAATACAATGTTTAACTAAAACCTGTGTTCATACCTACCGTACCTCTCTTGAACTGCCTTGCTTTGTTCTGGAGTAGAATTTACTTCAGTATAAAGCTTTTGTAAGGCTTCAGTGTGCCAGTAATTCATATGTTGTATGACTGTGAAGAATCTACTTTCCTTGTTTTAATTTGTGGCCAATTTCTGAAAACACTTATTTTGGTGCTTTAATGAATTGTATTATAATATCCATATTGACTTAATGGTTGTGTGTGTTCTGGTTTTTTCTTCTAACCCTTTCTTTTGAATTTCAAGACAAGTGAAAGCATGGGCTATGTTTCATATACTTTAAAGAATTATTTATGCATCTTGGGTATTGGCACATTTTCATTACATTTTATTTTGCTACAAATATTGAATTCTATTTTTCTTCCCAAACAATTCAGTACTCCAAATCTAAAGGTAATTGATAGCATGTCTAAACTAGAAAAAGAGCTTAGGCTTTTGAATTAAAAAATGGAATGGAGGAGATGGAAGTCTGGGCTTAGTCTGATACTTCAAGTATTTCAAAGGACTTTTTATGCCCTTTGAACAAGTTAACATTTTGCCTCTCTACAGAAGCTTGCAAAGTAGTCTGAGATCTTTAGATGTGGGGGACAAAAACCCCACACCTGAATCTGAAGTGTTATTATATGAATAATTTAGAATTATTGTCATACAAGTGATTTCTGTGAGGTGCCCTCATTTACAATAATTTTAGAGATTTCCAGTTCAACTAACTGTCACCATGCTAACTTGAATGCTAATGTGAGACAGGCATCCTGCTATTCAACCTTCTCAAGACAATGAATTTCTGGATGTACATAAAAGTGTCTAGGTAATGTTAATGTTGAAAAGTAAGATACCTGCTGACCTAGTGAGCTCTGGGCATTAGGCAGTGTGTGAGCCAACAGATCTGATTTATATCTAGGGCTTTAGTCAACTAATGGTATAGTTAAGTGTTTTGTATGTGGAAAAACTGATCTAAGAGAGTTTCCATCTTGCTACAGCACTTAAGAGCTTGTTTTCCTCCTCTTTCTCAGTTTACCATTTTCTTTGTAGAGCTGGTGAAGCTGCTCAGTAAACTGGATCACTAGAACCAACTGCATTAAAGGTTTGAGGATGTGTGTTTTTGAACAATTCAATTACTCCAGTGATGCAGTTAACAGCTCAGCTCCCCAAAGACTTTGAACAGCCCAGGGAATATACATATATATATTGCAATGAGCAATCCGGAGAGGAACAAGAAAATGATGCAGGTGCGTGGGAACAGAAAATGCCTTTGTTTCAGAGTGGTCAGTGGTCAGTGAAAACTGGATCACTCAGACACCTCTAAATGGGATGCAGTTGTGTATTGAACTAAGCAGGAGATACATCTGTTTCAGCAACATGCTCTGAACATTTCCCTGTGATCAAATCTGTCTTTGATCCCCCATCTTTGAGAGATGGAGCAGAGTTGGCCTAAAAGGCCAACAGACTGGCGAGGGAGACTTCATCATGGATAGTGGCTAGAGCAGAGCCTAGATTCCTTCTTCTGCCTAAGGGGACTTAGAAGTACATGTGCCTGGCTGGTACCAGGTCTGAGGCTGCAGAAGATTTAGTCAGTCAGGCTCCTCCTGCTAAAATTTATTCTGGGCATGGAAGAATTCAAAAGTAATTCCTCCATTTCTCAAGTCATTCTTCCTTCTTATACTTTTAGACAACCTTGCTCTTTATAGTTTTTTAGCATTTCTGGTTTTATCTCATTCAAACCTCCAGGACAGAGCAGCCAGTAGGCAGAACTGGTGGTTCCCCTCCAAAGTACTATTGTTAGAGGGGTTCTGGGACAGGATTCAAACAAGGAAGAATAGCTGAAACCGCAAATGTTTTGAATTGTGTGGGTGACTTGCATGTATGCACAGTGCCCTACTAGATGGGCATGTTACATCAAACCATATGTTGTTTATGCATTGCATGGGTCCATGTAACATGGCTAATTGGGACCTTCTTGATGGTACAGCTAACTTTGGGAAAGTAAATGGATTCATACACTTTTATTTTTCAGTTATTCTTTTATCTGAATTTGGCTCTTGGATAAAGTCCCTTAAATTCTTGTACATAGATGTGGGAACACCTTTGCAGCATTGTCTGAGGGCGTGGCTATGAAGTTTAATTTTAGTATGTTGTCTTAAATCACAAAAATTGTTTCATATCAGGGAGTTTTATCTCCAATTTTTCCTCTTTATGCATACTTTATAATACATAGTATAAAATTTTTGCATCCATAATAGGACACTGGGATGGTTGGATCTTTGCTGACCTTCATTTTGGATTTTCTTATATCCTAATAGGTACTTATATATACATAAATATATAAAGAAGCACACTATTTTCTGGGTATAAGGAGGTACAACTTTCTTTCTATCAACAGAGAATTTTCCTGTTAGGGTCATTGATCACAGTGTAATGAGAGAGAGAGATATGTAAGTCTGAATCTGCCATGGCCCATCTTTGGAAAATCATTTGATCTCTCTGTAAACTAAACTTAGTGGTTTATTTCATGCTGATGGCATGATTATTAATTATTAATATTTGGAGAAAGAATTTAAGGTATGTTTGTATTTCATGGTGTTGGACTGAAAAACTATATATGGAAAAATTCATTGATGCAGACATGTGGCAGGTGCAGCTCACAATTAATGTGCATAAAGTTAGATGCACAGATTGTACAAAATTATTATTAAAGAAACACAGGGCTAATGTTGATAGAGCATATGGCATGTATCACTGTTGAACACGATAAGGAGATAAGCTACTGTGAATTTATTTCTGGCTTTGTATTCTTCAAGAAGCTCTTGGTGAATACTGTAAATTCTATTAAAAGTTTTGACCTTTTATGTAGGTAACCATAAATTTGAAGTGAGCACGTGTGTGTGCTGCATAGGCACCAGTGGAGCTGACAAAGGATTCCTTTAGTTAAAGCAGGCATTTACTGAATTTTGAACTACCTTTTAAATACTTAAACTGTCAAGCAAGCGTTTTGCAAAGGAAGGGTTTTCAGTATATAATTCCCCAATGTAGGTCAATTAAAGTTATAATACTTTCCTAAATTTGAATCACTAGATCAAGTGTATTTTCCTAGCTGTACATTTTCCCTCTGTGCATTTATTTCAAATGTTAATAAAGTTTTCATCTACAAAAGGCTTAGAATTGACAGAACAAAACTCTTTCTTTTTAAATGATGACAACTACTACTGTTTCTGTCTGCAGGTAGTGGAGGACATGCTAGAGGACGAGGAAGAAGAGGATGACAGAGATGACAAGGTAATTATCTTTCCTAGCACTTGGGTATCTGGGGATGGGAGAATTTAGACATGACACTGTTTTTTACCGACAGTTAACAAAGGAGTTGATGTGTTTTAGTCCAGAAAATTGGACAGAGCTGTTTATCATCCTATAATAATAGATATAGCATGTTGATGGAAAGGTTAGAGGACTATAAATCCTGCTTTCTTTTTCTTTATTTTTCTGGTTTTTCTTTTTTCTTCTTCTTTTTCTTTCTTCTTCTTCTTCTCCTTTATTTCTTTTTCCTTCTTCTCCTTCTCCTTCTCCTTCTTCTTCTTCTTTTTTTTCCCTTTCTTCTTCTTTTTGCTTTCCCTCTTCCTTTTCCTTTTTATTTTTTTTCTCTTTTCTTGGTCCAGAGATGGATAAAATATTTTTTTCTGCCAGGAACAAGAGTATCTCTGCCAGTCTGGAACTTGATAGCTCTTGTGAAGACAACAACAGGTTTTGAAGGACAAAAATTCCTCCTGTCTTGAGTACTACAAATAGTGCTGCACTTCAGGGGAAAAATGGTGTGGAAATAGCAACTCTATGCTGGTTAAAGATGGGATATTGACATCTAAAATTTTCAAAGAATTACTGGATAGAAGAATGACATTTATATAATCACATATGACATTTAAATAATCACAATTCTCATAGACATCCATTTGATTAAAGTTTGCATTGTGGCCCTGCAAGCTGGGAAACCACTCCTATTTGAGTGGATGTGATTCAGTTTAGATGCTGCCAGCTAGGCTGAGGATTTCAACCATAGTAAATAACAGCTCATTTCCACATATCATTGAGCCAAGCCATGGGGCTTCTTGGATTGGTTGTCCCCCAAAGAGAGGGAAAAACCAAAGAAAATAAATCTGAATGACCTTGCACCACTGAAACAATGGCTAGCACTGGCAGGATGGCTTTCTGGTGAGATGAGTGAAGACAGCCCAATACTTGCTGGTATTTTCCTATCAGAAGGGAAGAAAATAAAAATTGAGGAAATACATAGTTTTACAACAATTCTGTATTAAAATTCAGATTATTTTGACCTTCACAGATGTTCGATGTTCCCCCACTTCTGTTGTAATACAGCTTTTTTTTTTTTTTTTTTTTTTTTTTTTTTCTTTTTTTTTTTTTTCTGAGAGAGAGGAGCATCTTAATTTATGCTCTTGACCTTTTTTTCTGGCTGAGATGTACATTTATACACCACTGTAAGAATTCATATGCTGGCAGCAGCATTTGAAATGTCAGAAAATTCACTGTAATTAGTTAATTCCCTGAATAATTATTTTTCTGTTAGCTAACACCTAAGATGTAAGAGATGATAAAAAATAAAGATTATTTCTTCATTCTATTGCCAGGTCAAACACTGGCTTGAATAATAACACACATAAACTTCTCAATTTATATGAGAAATTCTTCTATACATCAGCTAAATTGTTAGCTACATAATTTCATAACACTGTATTAACAAAATCTTCTTCTACAAAATGCATATGGGAGGTTTTTTTGATGCTAAATGATATGAGCATTCATTATTAGCAATAAAATATATGATTGATTGTAAAAGTCCATCATGTAGCTGTGGAGGGCTTGAATTTTATCTCAATATGCTAGCTTTCAGTCATCTTCTGATAAACATGGATTTACCATCCATTTGAGGCCATTTTCTCCTGTTTGTTCCTGCTTTATAATTAGATCTGTGCAAATGTGTCATACCAGAAGTGTGTGTATTCCTAGATATTTTAACCACTGTGATTAGTTCACAAAGAATAGTACTTGACTGCTTGTAGATTAAACCAGCCTGTGTAGTTACTGCTTAGTGGGTTTTGGAAATTGCTAACCAAACTCCTTTAAAAGAGAAGATGAAGGCAGAGGTCAGCCCCTCCCTCCCCCCAGTTCTCTGGTGATTCTCTGAGCAAACACCCCTAATTAGAAATATCACTCTAGGTTTCAATGTTATGATCTAATATTCAGCTTTCTCAAACTGACACCAGAGTTCAAACATTTTTCTGGATCTAGTTACCAAGGTTGAATTAAAGTGAGTACTGACATTACTGTGTGCATTCAGTGAGCCCTTTTATTGAATATTTAAGAGCTGGGTTTTTATACAGAAGGTGTTAAGGTTGATTTTCATAAATTCAAAGCTGTCTTCATTATTGCAAATGTTTTGAGCTCTCAAGATTAAATATGCTGTTTGAATTGGAAAAAAAAACCCTACACTTTTTAAAACAAGCATGAATAGACTACTCTATTTATTCAGGGTGTTTGCAGTGGGTGTTATTTTGCATTAGGTTAAATTGTAAATAATAAGCACATGGTTAGGATTAATTTGTTTGTTGTTAGAAGCTGTTTTTCCTTTCTGGTGCACTAGACATACTCTCTTAACTCCTGCTGTTCATGTTACATCTTTTAACTAAATGGAGGGGTGCAGTTTTGTGTTTAGTTTGTGTGTGTTTTCTTAAAGCTATGTGCAAAATAAATTTTTGTGAGAAAAAAAATGCATGTTTTGTACCACCAGCTGGTAGTGACCTTTGGCTTTTATTATTTCTCTTGTTTTTTGGGTTTTTTTTCATGTGGTTTAATAGAAAACTCAGGAAAATGGGTCTCCTTATGTGAAGAAAGTTACAAGATTAATAAATGTGCCAAACCCTTACTTTCATTAAAACTGAAGCATATGTTGCAAATATGTAAAATATGCCCCAGCTGTTTGACCATGGCCAGTGTCTTTGCTCCCTGATTACCACAAGGAAGCTATTAGTCCTGTAAACTTTGGACTCTGTGATCAATAGGGTATTACATGGCATGGAACTGGAGCACCTGTTTTCCATTTAGTGAAGGCTCCTTGCAGGCTTTACCTAAACCTATCCATATGTTTTTACTTATCAGATTGTTGGGCAATTATGAAAAGTGTCTTTCTTTAGAGCTGACTTGGGTATCAGTGACTTGCTACGTGATGACCTCAGTGTGGGCATGCCCTGATGTTGGTAATGTCATGGACAGACGTTACCTGACATCCCCAAATTGCAGAGTTACAGAAGTAGTAAACTGAGGATGATGAATGCCAAAATATATGAAATTAGTTAATATAATGCATTTTATTAATAATGCTGTGTAATACTGAGAGCAATCTGACAAGATAGATTTACACTACCACGTCTCATTCTAGTGTTCTGGATTTTAGTAACTTTTTTCACCCTCTGCTGCGGTCAAGACAGGACTGTTAATTTAAGGCCACATTATGTGTTTTTTTACTGGAGAATCTTGACTTTCACCTTCACTTGCAATATGAATAATAAACTAAAGCAGCAGGTATGCTACTTGTATTGGTTACAAAGTGGTGTTTAGCAGTGGAACACTTTTTTCCTGATTTTTCTTAATTGTCTTGTTATGTGTTTAGGAATTTTAAAAGATGTAGTTTGTTTGGCTCAGGCATTTAATACCAGTTTTTCTAAGAAATAGCACTGGACTCTGCATTCCATATGTCCTGTAACATTTGTTGCTAAACCTATGCCAACCAGAGATTTACAGTGTAATCTGATTTCTCTTTCTTTTTTTTCTTTTGGCTCCTTTCCAAACACTGGCTTATGCAATACCTTAGCAAATATGGGTCAGTTAAATTACATGTAGTCAAGTTATCAATAAGCTATCAAAAGGATTTTTATGCAGTTATAATAATGTAGCAGTCAATATGGACAACTTATGTATCTAGAATTTGTCTGTGTATCTAAGATTTAGTTTTTAAGAAGTTTACATATGCTTTTCATATAGCTTTAGTATTTTAACAATCTCCACGTAAGATTTCAGATAATCTCAAAGATTTTTCAGGTCAGCCTTTTGCTGGAAGCCCTCAGCACACCAGAGAATTAGGCCAGTGAAAACTGCTACCACTGCAGGCATAAAGGGAGGAAGATGCATGTTATGAACACTGTTTTGTTTTACCTTCATCAACATTTTATTATGAAAAAAATATTCAAAACATCTGCGGTTATGGTTACTCTTTATCCTTCCATTTTATCCTTATTTACTCTTTATCCTTTGAAAAATTCTTTGCAGGTCTCAGTCAGTGAAATTGTACTTCAAGATAAATAAAAGCTTTTGTAATGAATTATAGCTGAGTCAAATTAAAATATACTTTAAAGCTTCTAATAATTGTTGCTGAAAGGTATCAACTTTGTTCTCAAGCCAAGACATGTTTGTATCCTGTCTCAGAAGCATGCCCTGCATTTTTACTGAGAGGAGATCGTGAGGAGGAGGAAAGATAGCTCCAATGTAACCTACATTTTTATATTCCATAAAAGAGAAGACCGCAATCTATTACAGTGGCAGCTATTTTCTGTAAAATAAATGGTGGAAAATGATATAGAGAAAGAGAGAGCAGAGTTAAAATTCCAGAACAAGTGAATCTATTGGTCCACCTATAGCTTGATTCTACCATTATATTCTACATGAACATAGCATCTAAATACTAACTATAAATAAAAAGCCAACAGCAGCTTCCAGTGAAAACTGTAGCTATGTATGAACCTGTTATCCTCTCAAAGCGTAGATGAGAAAACTGTGTGTATTTACAAAAAAAATCTCTACAACAGGGCAATCTACAGTACATGGTTGCAGAAGTCATACTTCTCAGTACAGTTTGGTTTCAGCTCAGTTTAGTTATTCATGTAGACATGTTGATAAGAGGTGTGTAGTTTTAATAACAGTTGTACATAAAGTATGGGATGATGGTGTGGACTGCTTCAGTCTGTACTCTGAACTATCACCTGGTTTTGATCATTGGATCACCCCCAAGTCACAGCCATTAAGTTACTTTTGCTTGGATATACCTTAGATCCTGCGGAGCCTTTGCATATCAACTTTCACAAAAAAACAGTTTTCATCCTGCCGTGTAGTGGGACATCATATAGTCTTCATCATTAACATACACATCTTTGAAAACAGGTACTTGGACAGCCTTCTGAGAGGTTTAGTTTTAATGAGATCGCGTTTCTTTGTCC